ACACACACACAGACACACACACACACACACACACAGACACACACACACACACACACACACAGACACAAACAGACACACACACACACACACAGACACACACAGACACACACAGACACACCCACACACACCCACACACACACACACACACACGCACAAACACGCACAAACAAACACACACACCCACACACACACACACACTCACACTCACAGACACAGCGACACCGACATTTTTTCTGAAAGGGTGGGTGACACGAGGAATGGCACACAAGGCAGGCAGACGGACACACAGACTCAACCACATGCGCATGCGTGTGCAAACGCCAGAAGCGAGACACACGATGAAAGGCACATCAACTCAAGCACCTTCGGGGCAAAACTTGTCGTTGCCTTAGTCTTTTCAAGGGGCGTTTTTGTGCAAGCAGCAAGCTTCCAGTAAAATTAACCGACAACTGTTCAGAATGTAGCAGCGCCAAAGACCACGCGTTATGGATTGCAGAAGACTTCAAGGACCTCGAATGCTGCCTCTGACGGTTCCATCATTCCTACCGGGTCCTACCTGTTTAACCGAAGTCACGTTGGAGAGTGCAAAAGTCTGTAGAGGCTGGAATTGAAGCAGCCCACGTTTTGCAAAGGCCCCTGAGGATGAGAACACCGAGCGCGACAGGGCGGGGAAGGTGTTTTGGGACCAGAGCCTCGGAGTTGTTGGGTATTCGCCTCAATTGCTCGACCTCGGGTCTCAGCGATGCAACTGCCTGAGAAAACGCCCTGTGCACAAAACGTTTTTGCGGTCGAAGAAATTGCAGCTTGCCGAGCAAAGGAACTTTCGGGAATGGACCAAAGGCAAGCCGCTGTGCCTTGTGCCGTCTGCCTCCCCGCCGCAATGTGGGGTCCGATGGGTTTGAACGGAATATTTCCAGAAGATGAGGTCCAAGTGTTCCTCGATGCGACAGTCGGACATACTTGGGCTATGCATCAGACAAAGTTCGGAGTGTTTCCGGTATTGACTGTCGCCGTCACTCACGTGACATGTCTTATAGGTCTGCGAACAGGTTACATGGGACTGCCTTTTTGAGGAAGTGAATCCTTGAATATAAGCTTCTGCTTGGCCCTCAGGCAAACGCGAAGAATCGGCCTGTGATATGCCAAATCTCTTGAGATGGTTATGCGGACGAAGCGAGCATCCTTGTGACGAAGTTAAGAATTCCTGCTGCCTGCCAAGGACCTTACATACCTGGAAGCTGCGATCTTCAACGACACCACGCTTCTCTCGACTCGGGAGTTGATGGACTGCCCCCTAAACCCTGAAAGGCCCTAAACACCGGTCATGTGGAGTGCCGAGAAGTTGATGAGGACACAGTTTGACTTCCGGCGTAGCAACGTTCCTAATTAAATCTGCCACCAGACCTACAAACCAAGCTTGACGCACTTTCGCTTGTGACCAGCACATGCTCTGTGCGTGGCAGCAATCTAGATGGATGATGCATGGGCAGCGCGTGTCATTGCAACAATGCAGAAGCAAGCCGATGAACAGAATTCTTGTCAGGACTCAGATTTTGCATTGACTTTTTTTACTGCAGCTTCCGCAGGATTACTCCCTGCTTTTGGCAGCGGTCCCCCCAGAGCCGGGGGCAACTGCGGGCCGCTTGATCTTGGGCCCCTGGTCTCAACAAATCCTGGGTGACTGCTCATAAGCCTTTGATTGGTGGTCGGCTGGCGTTTTTGCAGGGCAGTGAAGGCAGTGCAAGGGCTGCGTGTGAGGGTTTGGGTTCGGGCTGGTGTCCGTTGCAAAGTTTGAGGCATGATCGACTATCTCCGTGCCTTCACCATTGACAAGAAGGCCTCTTGGCTGTTTGTGATCCCGCTAGTGTTGCGGTTGTAATAGTACACCCTCCCCCCCTGAGGTTGTTTTGCCCGGGGGGTCTCTTGGGGCAGAGTTGTGGTTTTGGGTGGAGGGGTGGGAATAATAAAGAGGGTCTCGCTTTCTAAGCAGCCTTCAGAAAAAAGCCTTGCTTCCGGGAACCCCCCCCCGGCGGGAGTTTATTATTGTCACCCCATTCATTGTTGCGATCCGCAGGGCTCCTAAGGGTTACCCTTGCCGGCTTTGTGAAATGGCTCCGTTTATGTAAAATTTTAGTAAGGCAGAGGCCTCAAGAATCGCCGCTGCAATTCTCCCAGCTTGGAGCTTCTGAGATGTCGGATCTGGTGAGACTGCCGTGGCGTGGAGTCAAAAGGCTCTGGAACACTACTCTGCGATGCTAGTTCAGTGAGGTGTCTGAGGAACTGCTGTCTGCCAGCTGGGTCAAGGAGGGGTCTAAGCTTGTCTTTAGTCAAGCTTTCCTTCTAGTGAGGATCTAAATTTTGGGGATTTCTGGTTCGGAATATTTTAATTGTAATTGTCACACCTTGAATTAATATCACCGCAGCCCCAACATCAGTTGTTTGGCCGGATCTGGGCTGATCTGGGTCTGCCTTCTAAACTCTTCTTCCGCCGGAAATGTCTGGGCCGGGCAATATTTTAATCGTCACCCCAACCATTAAAAAAGAGAACAATCCAAACATTACTCTGACCTCGGACCGACGTGTCTGAGTGTCTGAAAGCCGGTCTCCGGGTCCGAATCATCGCGGCCCCGAACTGCGAAAAGCTCACAGCAATCCATTTGTTTTCCCGATTTGGAGGTTGAAAGTGCCGTGAAAACTGCACTGGCGCCGACACCGTCGGAGCAGCCCACAATCATCGCTCCCAAGGATTGGACATGTCCGCTAGGTAAAGAGTCATGCTCAAGACAATCGGGAGCGCCTTTTCGAGATCTTTTTGCACAGGACTATGCCGCTCGCTTCATGCGTGCAATGAGCACCTACTTCGTGGCAGACTGCCCAGAGGAACCCTGATGCTATCGGAGGACTGGGAGGGCTTTGGCCACCTCAACAATGCAGATTTGATCTGTTCTGTCTGTCCTGGCCTAGAAGCAGAGAAAGACGCTTCCCCAATGTGGACGTTTTGCACTTGATGGCTCGGCCGAAGGAGTTCAAGAGAGTGCAGAGCGAGGAAGTTCTTCTCGACGATGATGCTTTTGTTCGAGCTTCCTGCTGCCCAGTGTGAGAGCTCCGCGTGCTCGATTGAAGAGGCGGGAGAATCCCGGCCTCCTCCGACGCCCCGCCCTGAGATTTGGACAGCGCGACCACTGCTCCAGGGTGTGTCGTTCGTGGCGCGGCCCTCTTGCAGTGTCCGTGTCGGAAGTCTACCTGGCGCAGAGATTTTCATAGTCTCACCTTCGGCATGCCAAAAACGGAGACTGTGCCGGGATTCGGGATTGTGTCCCGACGAAGACCCGCTGTACCTGCGCTCTGACAGATTCCCCCAAATTCAGTCGGGACGACGCCATTGTACTTCCTGACTGCCTTCGTCGGCTGGGAGCCTTGACGCTTTGACAACTCATGCAGGCGAGTTTCCGCCAGTTTCCGCTAAGACCGGTGCATATCGTTAATGTTGCCCCGCATGCAGCTGATTGTTTGATGTCTTCCCAGCTAAAATTAACTTAAACTGCTGTCCTGCGAGGCACAATGAAATAGGTCTAAAGTCTAAAGAGCATGACCTAGTGCCCTTCGTTTCCAAGCTCCCATAGGAATGCAAAAAAATTCTGCAGAAAAGTCAGCGTAACTCAAAAAGCTTGCTCAGCAGCAGAGCCGACATCTCAGAACCTTCCCTCGCCGCCTCGCCCATGGCTCCGTAGCCATGTGGCCGGCCCCCCTACTCCGAAGTTCCTGGCCGAGTGCACTTCTACAGCCGCTGCAGCCGGCGCTGCAGCAGAGGTGAGGAGCTCAATCGCAGGCCTTTGCCTCATGAATGCTTTCAGAAAGCCGTGCTACACACCGACACGAGGGCGTGCAGCTCGACATCGCCGCACTTCACTCATGCTGCGCCTGTCGCAGTCGCAGTTGCTCTGGCGGCCGGAACGGGAGGGAAAGCTCGGAAGCGACCGGAAACAGGCAATTCTTGGCTTGCCAGCTGTGTAGGCCCGCAATGCCATATGATTACCTGCTGTCCAGTGCTCGCATTTGGTTCCATGGGCTGAGATTTGAACGATCGTCTCATCGAGAGCGTAGGCGAAGCCCTTCTGTCGACATCGCGGTGTAGCGCGGGCCGCCACTGCGCCAGTGGAGGCACCGAAGCATCCAGAGACTTAATGAAGCCCGAACATGAACACGTGCTCAATCCAAGCGGGAGACGGTTCTGCGAACAGAAAGGATTTGTGATTTGAGGGTTGCAGAAGACCTTGCTACTCTACCCAAGCACGAAGGCGCCAAGAGTGCACACTGCTGTGAGTCCTCCTCTTCCTGCAGCGAGAAAGCTACCCGAGTGCGGTCCAGCTCCCGTGGTCCCCCAACTAGGCACGAGCTGTCGTTCGTGGCGACGTGCTGCCAGAGCTGCATGCGGCCATTCGTGGGTGGTCCGCTGAGTCTATATGCAGGCAGAGTCCGCTGGGCGGGGGGGTGGACTCTGGACGGCAGGTCGGTGGATGTGGCAGCGATCATTCAGCTCCTGCACATTTGCGGGCAGCGCAAGTGGCTGGAGTCTTGTTGAGACTCACGGGCGCTTGAGGCTTGAGGTGTTGGTTTTCCCAAGAGAATCCAAGGGTCCAAGGCAAACTCTGACGGAGGAGCAGTGCGATTGCTGGCGCTTTCCCGTAAACCCCAAACCCTAAACCCTAACTGGGCAGTGTTCGAATGGAATTTGATGCTGGGAAGTCATGAAGATTTGAAGACTCTCCCAACTGAGGCATTGAACCCTAAGAGCTGCTTGCCCAAAGAGCATCTGAGGACGAGGTCACCGCAATTCAGGCGGCCGTGCAAGACCTCGAGCCTTCGCAGCTTGAGCCACTGGGCTCATGACACTGGATAACTGCTCTGTTGGGGCTTCAACTCCTGAGCCTCACCCAAAGCACTTCGATGTGACCAAAACCTCGGCCCCAGCGCACATTGTCTTTTTCCAGTAGCTTCGGTTCGCAATACTGTCCCAACAGCCCTGCCCGTGAACGCGAAAGTCCTGTGCCTGCCACTTAAACCGCTCGCAATGATGTGGCACATGCGCGTAAACACCACGTTGGAGCATTGCTTAAGGATAGAGGCCCCGGTGGTCAGTGGATTCTGCAATGCCGCTGCGAGGCAACACTGCTGGAATTACGATCTGGTCGGGAATTGCGTCAAACACACCGCCGAACCGAAAGTAGATGCCCTTTTGCCCGCGCAGTCTGCGTCTGCGCACTTGAGGCGATTGGTAGGTCGAGTTCGACTTGTGATGCAAGAGTCCAGTCTGTTTGGGCCGGGCTGAGCCCGGCCAGTATCACAAAATCTCACGGGAGGCATAGGTGTCGCGGCGCAATGTTGATTCGTTGATCTCCCAGTCAAAGCGAGAAGGCGCACCTGGTCTGTGTTACAAGCTATCTGCAGGTGCCTGTCAGGCTTGCGCTTGCAGCGGGATGCCCGGACAACCAAATGCGCTGAGGCAGAGGGGCCAGATGACCAGATCTCCACACATACAATTATATATGTTTCGCAAGAAGCTGTAGCAGCACCTAACCCTGGTGGTCGCTGTGATTGTAGCAGTCTGAAGCCCAGCTGCCGGGTTCTGTGGCGCTAGCATGCGCCAGCCAGAGGTCCTGGACCGAGCACGCTTGCTGTGGCAAGCGTGGGCTGAACACTGGCAAGAAGGCTGGAGAGAAAATCAGTCAGGGTCACATCCAAGAGATTGCGAGAACCGCTGAGACAACTACGGTAGGCCTTCACCCTGAGGCTTGAATCGCAAACTCTGGGTGAGTCTCCTGACGTTTGGGCCTGGAGTGCGATCTCCATTTATCTCACCATCGGCAGCGTTCACATTGAAGGAGAAGCCTGTGCCGACTTTGACACTGCCCTGGCTTCGGCTTTGCTCTTGTGTGTACTTTGGCAGATCAGTGATGCAAGGGGGCTGCACTTGCAAACCTGTGTTACACATCGCAATCATTTGTGTCTTTGCTTTCAGAATCAAAGCATTTCAGCAGCCCTGGTTTCTTGCACTGTTACTTTGTGCTTCTGTTCAATCTACTCGCAGTCCCAGCCCTTGGGGCAAGGATGTCGTGCGGAGCCCGACTGCGCTGGTTTGGGCTGAGGAGATCTGGGAGCAGGTGCATCTCGTCCCATCCTGCGGTGTATACATGGCTTACTGCTGATTCTTGGTCTTGGTGATACGGTTGCATGATCATGCAAGTATGCAAGAACACGCCGAACGACATTCCCCATCCCGGCTTCCTGACCAGGCGAAGGCTCAAGCGGCCCCTGGGTCTGAACGCTTCGGTTGGATGTGCTGGAGCTTTGGGACGTGATGTCCGTGTCAGATGCCAAAGTGGTCCAGTGAGAGCCCCCATCCCAGGTGCCGAGGACGGTAGACTTGTACCTCGCCATGCTGAGCATACTCGAGTGGCATCGTAGATACGACGCTGTGGACGGTATGCTCCTTCAGGCCTGCAGCCCTGAGCAGTCTTTCAGAGCTTCAAAGCAGAGCTCGAGGACATGGTCGAGGACGGGCTGACGCCGAACGAGGAGGTCCCTTCTTGAAGTGACCGTGCAGTTTCTGTTTCAGGTTTCAGTAGGGCTGAGGCAGTGTCTGCTCAGCAAAGCTACGTCCTTCCAGAGCAAAGCCTGCGCATGTACGTACGCATAAGTATGCATGCATGTATGTGTGTATAGCTGTATGTTTGTATATATATATATAAGATACATCTTATATCTGTCGTTACACAGCTCTAAGAAGAAGCTACACCATACCATAATGCACTACACTACTCTGCGCTACTTGTATGCTGTACAATGCTATGCCATACTATGCAATGTAATATAACCTAGTCTGGTACAGCTCAAGTTAGCAAAATCTCTAATCTAACACAATGCAGCCGAGGAGGCACATGACTTAGTGTATATATGTTGTGTAATGTGCTGAAGTATCATATCCCAAAGCAAAACATTAAGAAAGCGAGTGTAGATGCAGCATGTTAAAAATGTCAACGGGTACGGTATAAAAATGAGTATACTTGAGGATACCGGCAATAAAATGGAAGAAAGATGCAATTTATATGTACAGCCATGATAGAACAGTCTGCATAACACATACGTATATATGTATCTGCGCACACACACACACAGCTATCACTGTTTTGGGATCACGCTGGCATAATTAGTTCGATTTTTTAGGGTTCAGGGCTGTGGAGTCGGGGACTGACGCTGCAGGCGAAGGGGCTCGGTCTTTCAATGCAGGAGACCAAGAAGGCTAACCATCATGAAGGTCATCAGCCTCAGGATTCGCCTACAGTGTACAAGCATGGCCTAAAGCATGAATTGCATCATCACCGTCACCGTCAGCATCACAGAACTGATCAGAAAATATAGATCCATGACAACATGGCTACACGAAGTCAGGCAAGGCTTGACTAAACAAACCAACACGACGCCGTGAGCACCACCCCCCGCCACCTTCCGCCAATGCATTGCCTGCACTTTGAGACCGAACAACTTGGCGAGACGCTGGAAGGCAATCCATACGCTAGCATGTACACGTATACATGCACGTATACATGCATACATGCATACGTCGTTGCAGGGCTCATTCTCGCATGTCTTCCTCACGCTGCTTGTCACACTTGCAGAGAACACGGAACCCTCAAGCTGGATAAGCCTGCTGTCAAGGTTCTGGAGGCGCTCCTCATGCTAGCTTCCAACCGCAAGGCTCGACGCGGCACTCTGTACCATGGAGCCGCTAGGGTGCTGCACCTGCAACATCTCTGTCGGGTGTCTGCTGACGGGGGCTCGTACTCTTGGATTTGATCAAACTACGGGAGGGGGGGCCTTGTTTGTAGTGTTGGATTTGTGCAAAATGTACTTGGGGCCGTCTTATTTTAGGTGGTAATGAAAGGCGGGTTGGATTTGGGGGTAGCAAGCGGCCCCCGACCGGGTCGAAGTACAACCAAACGGCAGAAATATACGGTGGAAAACACACCTGAGCCACTACTGACTTGGACATGCTCTGCAGAAAATCCATGGTACAGCCTTGAGGTTTCAGCACCAGAGCTGGATAATGATGGTTGTGATTCGTCCCTTCTCTTTGTGCCCGACCACGAAGGAGGACTTACCATCTTTGTTTGGGTTTGTATGTTTCGATCATGTAGGTACGCAAGGCTTGTAGGCAATACTTAACATGATTATTTCGGTTTGTATGCTGGTCATGCAGGTTGGGAAGGCTTATTAATGCTACAACAACGCAGGAAAGACTGTGCTGATGGGGAGCTGTTTCCACTCAGCCACCTTGGTGCTGCAAGCTCAGCACGTCACGCAGAGGTTGGTTCGCATGGACGTCTGTGGTCTCGAGCTTACCATCTGACAGGAAAGAACACGCCTTCAGCATATGATCCGGCACAGCGGCAGCTGAAGCACCGAAAGACTGGAAACGCCTGCAGAGTTCCGCTTTCAATTTGAGGCTAACATCTTCTACGAAGATCTTGTTGACGGTCTGTGGTTTTTAAATTGGCCGCCCATCCGCAAAGACACTGTGCAGAATACGAACATTCCAGACGGCTCCTGTCTAGGACCCTTCCGCATCTATGTCATGAGGCGCCGCTTGCGGTGCGGCATTCCATGTCAACGGCGCAGGTCGTGAAACGCGGCAGGCACCGGGGTTTCTTGGCCTTCTGTCTTCACAGTGGTTTTCTGCTCCACTGCCTTGTTCTTGGCTTTGGCGTTCCGAAGCTGCTCGCGGAGACTGGTGATGAAAAGATCCTTTTCATTTGCCTTCAGTGGCACGGATCCGTGGCCAGGTGCTTTGGGCTTGTTGCCCCGGCCGGAGGCGCCTAGTGGAGCAGAGTCCAACTCATCCGGCAGGTTGCATCTTCCTTAAGTGCTGGTTCAAGGCCAGTACGTGGAAGCACCGCTTGGCAGCTGGCAAAGCCGGATGTGTGCAATGCATCAGCCAACCATGTTATTGCATCATGGATGATCAAGAGACCCGAAGGTGCGGTGTCTCGACCCTCCATGGAACGTAAGCAAAATCCTCCGCAGTGATTTTGTGCCCGCCTTCGTGCGCCACAAAGGGGCGAACAGCCCGTTCAGCTTGGCGTGACTCAGCGGTCCACGGTAGCAGATGCCAAGCTCGTCCCCATCAGGGTCTTCCCCACATGGCAAGCAGATGTAGAACATGCGGCGTCAGCTGCTGGAGCACGTCCCAACGCTCGGCCTTACAGGTCCCAATCCCCAAAAAACTTGACAATGAACTTGCGCAGAAACAAGGAGCCTTCGAGCGTCAACAATAACGGATCGGATCTTGTCCGTGCCAAAAAGACTTTGAAAGAAGGATGCCTTCTGCCAAGGCTGAGCGTCCACGTGCCGGGGAGCCGTCGGATCGAAGTGAGCCTTTGCGGCCACTTCCACTTGCTCCAGCATGAAGTTGGGTGTTTCGCCCACACTGCCGACTGCATTGCCAGCGTCCTGCCGGGTGTACTTGATGGTGCTCTCTGCTGCCTTAATGCAAGATCTGCAGCGACAGCCAAATGCTGATCAATCACCCATTGCCGCAAGAAGCTGCTCACCCAGTTTTAATTGCGACCAATCTTATCCTTCCCTGCAGTCTTCCTTTCCAAGCTATCCTGACACCACTTCGCCACTTCGCCTTGACCGCATTGGCCCTAGAAACAAAGTCCTCATGAGATTGTGCTTGTTTCATCAGGTCAATGTGCAGGCTGATCTCCGACCATGCCACTTCTTTCCCCTCGTGGCTGCCTTCCGACAAGTGTGTACTATGCCCAGCGTCACCACAAACTTCGCGCAATGAAAACTTTGTGAGTTTAGGGTTTAGGGTGTTAGAGGTTTAGGGTTTCAGGTTTAGGGTTTAGGGCAGGGACTGGGTAGGGTTTGGCTCGCCTCTGAAGCGTTTGTAAAAGCTCTTCTTTGCTGCATGCTTGGCGTGGAAGTAGCACATGAGATCCGTGGCAGCGAAAGCTGACTTGAGTGCAGAAGGGTAGGCTGGCTCCGCATCGCTTATGGGAAAGAGTGCCGACACTTCACTGCACAGGGGTTGCAGTTGATTGTGCAAATGATGTCATTGTGGACACCATGCGTCGCACCCCATGTCAGACGTCAAGGCAAGCGCCCAGAGGCCAGACTGGCCAGCAGGTTTCAAGCAACCAAGCACTTTCAAAGGCCGTCCCAGGAGATTGAATTTTAACCTGCCATCGGCTGCTACGACACACCCTGCTGCGCAAGCACGGGCAAAGCGGCGCTGCAATACCGGAGTGGTTGCAAGGATGCTGATCTCCGACTTCGGGTCCTTCCTGACGATGCTGCTGTGGCTCCAGTAAGCCTGCGACTTTGTTTCGGGAAGCTTGTCGCGCTGCTGGACTGCTCGGCGCAAGGCTCCGACTGTGCTTTTTACCAGGAACACAAAGTCCCTTGCGCAAGTTCTGCACCTGCTTCACCTGCGCCTTCTGCACAGGTTGTTGTTTGTTCGCACTCGCTGACCTCACGGCCAATTGTGGCCGCAATGTGGCTTTCTGCGTAAGAGCAGCCTCAGCAAGGCTTTCGAAACCACGTTGTGTGAAATCTCCAAGTCGAGTAAGTTCTGCTGTCCCATCCGCCTGTTCCTTCAGGACTGCCCTCCACGTGCAGGGTGGTGTACTCCGAGCCAGCGTGCGCGCTAGAAAGGTAGCCTTGCCGTCCTTCTTGATGGCACGGCCACAGTGTGAGCGACAGTGCTCTCCTGAGCCCAGGTTTTGTAAGCCCGCATGCCTGCTGGCAGAACTGCTTTCAAAACTATCATACAGTGCCGCTTGGAGGAACCTGGTGCAGCCGCTCGCCCGGTTGGGCGTTTCATTCAGCAATCCCACTTCCCAACTACTCAGCAAGACCCTTGGCTAGGCCCTAGCCCTAGTTACAGCGAAAATGTCAAAAAATCCTTTTACATCCCAGTCCTCAATGACTCAACAAAACCCATGGTCCTTGGGCAAAAACCCTAGTTGTATTGTCACCCATTTGCTTGTGTTTCACCCACCTAAGCCAGTTTTTAAAGATTTGAGTTGTAGTTTTACCCATCTGGTTGTAATTGTACCCATCTAGTTGTAATTCCCGGGTCTCCACCCCTCCTTTAGATTGTGCCGGACGATATACAGGACTGAGCAACCGCCTGCCCAAATTCAAGAGCAAACTTAAGCACTGGTCAACAAATCCAAGAGTACGGGCCCCCGGTTGTACTCTGCCCTTATATTCTGTCCAAATCCCAAATCATCAGGCCTTATCCCCCAAATGCAAGAGCACGCGCCCGCCCCTACTTTCCCCCTGTCACCCACGTCCCTCGAGCCGGACTCGAAGGATTGGGAGCGCACGGATCTTCTGTGGAATTTTCTCGTGTGCAGCCACCACGTCCAACCCACGCCGTGGCTTGGACCTGTCTGCAAAGACGGGGGTATGGGATATCATCGGTTCCGGAGTCGAGACCTGCAGAGATCCGCAAAGGGTATGGGCGACAGAAACTGTAGCTGTTGCACTGTCATTCCGTGAGTTTTTGATGACGCTAGATGATTTTAGGGCCACTGAGACCTGCATTCCGGATGGAACTTGCAATCGCTCTATCAGATCGGCAGCTTAATTGCTGCACTCACACAGTGCTGTCGATCTGAAGAAGCCTCCAAACAGCAAGGAAGAGCTATGCCGCACATGCGGAAGCTCACTTGCTGGCTGGGCGCCCTGCCAGTGCTGCCGCCATCGTAGAGGACAGAGACAGGGGGTACTTGAGCCAGGCCTTTGCAGTAGCCGGTACCAGGCGATAGCTCACCGTCGTAACTTGAATCACATCGGCACGCAACCTTCATGAAGGCTCGAGATTTGCTCCGCATAGAAAAAACGTCTGGGTTTGGCTTGATGCATCGTCCAGGATATGCTAGATGCCGACGTTGCCCCAATCACTCCTGACACCGTTGCTGCTCGGACGCGCCAGCTCGGCTTTCGTAGCCGTGCAAGGGAGCCGCCCATCCAAAGTGCTTTTGCACGTAGTCCTCGGAGGTTGCAAAGCCCTGCAAGACTCTGACTCGTCTCCGGTCGAAAGCAGATGCAGATAACCGTTATAGACATAGACATGCAAAAAGCCTATTTGCGTCGCATGCGGAAGGCTGCTTACATGCAGATGTTGATCGTGATTTGTCACTCCGATCCGACATCCTCGAACATGGCACGCGTGAGGGACACTCGGGCAGCATCAGGAGGCTTACATCCGGATCTCCCAAATATCCTCTGGCATTCATGGACGCACCCCTTTACCAATTAAACTCTACCGGACACGGGTGTTCTTGCCGTGCAATGTTGCTTGGTGATCCCAGGTTTCGTCCGCAGTTCAGATCCGGGCACACCAGATACCTTCCTGTCTGAATTCTGTTCACTGTCCCTGTCCCGAAAGACTCCAGATACCCCAAGTTCAATTGAACTTCACGCTGTGTCAACGCCGCAATGGCAGCAATGGCTCTTCCTCAGATCATCCGAGGCTGCGATTGAACTCGCGGAAGGCCCCGGCAAATCTTAGCATGTCTTCACATTCAGGTTCGGATGGCGCATGTCTCCTGCAGGCCTCCACACCACCGGGCCGGCAGCCAAGGAGCTGAGCAAGCTCAAGAAGGCTGGAAACGGGCCGCCATTGAGGTTTCATGGTTGCAGCATGTTGCAGCGTACCAAGAAGGCGGAAATCAGAAAGGACATGCCAGTGGTGAAGAACGCAACAACAGAAGTGGCAGGTTGCCGTGTTGCTGATGTCGGACCCATGCGCACTGCCCTTTCGCCAAGTGCTCCGGAAGATTCTTTTGGCTGTTTAATTCACCCGAACGTCTTGGGCTCGTCTGGGACAATCTGTCTATGAGAAAAGCTGCACGTTGTGAGAAGCAACCAGGACCAGCACTCCTCTGGTCCGCACCAGCTGAGAAGGAGTTGCAAACTTGTGACATGCTGAAGCCACTGAAGCAAGGTACTTGTTTCGCGAGCAGCGCAGCGGAGTGTCATGAAGGGCTGGCGCAACGCGCGTGGCGGCAGCTGCTATGCGCGTCTGTAAAAGCTCTTGCTGACACGGTTTCATGTGGTGGCACAAAGCAGGCGCTCTGCACCTTCTGCCCGATGCTGCCACATCAGAGAATCGCCCCAAGTTTGGCAATGCTCATGCCCAGGTATCATTGGGGGTTCATGAAGGCCACGCACCACGTGCTACGGTGTGGCTGGGATGCATTTTGCCATCCGTTGTGAGGAGATACAGACGGAATTTCTGCAGATTCACAAGTCTTTCGTCACCCGGCAAACGGGTCAAACGACCTTAGGTGTGTGCTTCTACTGCTCCAAGCTGCTCGCGGATCCGAAGGCCGTCGGCATTTGCAGGTGTAGCTTGCACGCCGGGCCTAACCCGGGGGGGTTGAAATTGAGCTGCTCATCTCCGAAAACGATAAAGTCGTTCGCAAGGATCTCAAGATGCAGAATGCCATGAAGCAGATCAGCAGAAAGAAGAGGTTGCAGGCACTAACATGCGGTATGAAGAGCACATCGGCAAAACTTGAATCCTGCCAGAGGCCGTGATGCTTTGCTGCAGGGCACGGCGGACGTGTAGTGTGAAGCAAGAGGAAGAGGTGGGGCTCTGGTTTTGTCTTGCATGGCTTCTGATTGTTGCATGGACAGAAGAGTTGCAGGGCTGACAGATACAGCAGAAAGCAGCCAAGCGGCATGTGGAACCCCTGCGAGGAAGAATGCGACACAGCACTTAACAGACAAATTACGCTGCGAAGTACATCGAAGCAGTCCTGATGCGGCTTCTGACCTTTTGTTCGACATGAGATTGCACAGCATCGATGCCGAAAGTGGTCTTGATTCTTGATCTTTGGGAAGGTCTTATTCACCCGGCATCCTACCTCGGGTCGGCCAATCGGAGAGACATGTGAAACTTCAGCCATCAACTCTTATACTGGTCCACACTGCCATGTGGGCTAGAACGGACGCATCGACCACACGAAGGTAGGGAAGGCAATACCTGCGAACCTGGAAACATGCCAGAGGTGGAAGTCAACGGCAATCCTGTGAGACGAGATATGAAGGCAGCCACATCCTCGAGATGAGAAACACAACATCTGGCCATTGGAAACATGAGCGAAATTATGGTCGCGAAGGCTGCAGATGAAAAGCTAAAGTGAAAGGACAAACTACCCCTGTGGCTCACATTAGCAAAAGGTATATTGAAGGCAGACACGCGGAACGTATGAAGGTAACTTAGATGAGTAATTGAGGAATACGTAGAGAACAGCAAGGAGGCAGGGGCAAACATGAAGCCGGCCGGGTCACACGACCGCTTGCGAGTGGCAGACACCAGCAAGGACGGAAGGTAACATGCGAGACAGGTTCAGGCATGAACAGATCCGGGACACGCCAGCGGACGCAAGAATTTCTAAGAAGCCGACACGAACGGAAGGCAAACAAAGACAAGGCGGGGGCCACTTCGCAGTGGGACACATCAGGAGAAGATGCCCAAACTTCGGTGTTTTTGCGGAACCTTGATGAGAACCTTGCAGTTGACACTTGCCAGAGGCCCCGACAGATGAGGTGCCAGGCCTCGAGTTGCACGCGGAAGGGAGCTGTGGGATTTCCGGGCTTCAGAGTCGGCGCGTGTTTGCTTAGACAGGGTCGGCGTAGCTTGCCAACTCAGCCCAGATGGCGACGCCTCCAAGTTCAGAGGAGGTTGTGGGTTGCGGCCCGAGAGATGGAGATTTTGCGGAAGTGTACTTTGAAAGCTTTCCTTTCTGGGCGTGAGGGCATCGACCACTGGATTGTCATGTGTGGTGTCTATGGCACGTACCCTTGGCGCCAACATGTGCTTCTGGCTTCCAGGTACCTGCAGCCTCGCTACTACGTGGAGGCCACTGCATTTCCCTCAGACCCATCGAAGCTTCCTGTTGTCCGCACTTTGCACAAGTTCCTGCATGCCAAACGAAGGCACTGCCGACAATCGCCGGCTTAGGTTATGATGGTGGCCTTCCCGGACATTGACGGCCAGGAGGTCGCGGACTGGAGTATCAGACTCCAGAATCTGACTCTCCTCGCTCGCGGGGTACTGCTGAGACACACTGACGCCCTGCCACCTTGTCTGCGGAGCCTCCAACGCGCAGAAGCTTCCGAGGACAAAGCTCAAGATCGAAAGAGGGCGATGTCAGCGGACGAGGCGCCAGAAGTTCATCAGCTACCCTTGTTACAGACTCTGAAACGGGAGTTTCGTGCACTTTGGTGCCAGTGTCTTGCGCATTAGAGATCTGGTGGGGTTTGCAGACGCTGACGATCTTCAAGAGAATCAGCGACGCGTCGGGCCCCGAGAGCTCTTCTGCAGGACCAGTTCAACGCAGTTCTTGGCTTCAGTGAGGGGAGCTTTCTGCGCTTGTGGCCTGCAGGGACGTGAAGCGAATGGGCTTCGACCCGGCTTCGGGCCATCATCCGAAGAGCTTGATCTTGGTCGCTCGGCTCACCACGAGACCCACCGCAGCAGGGAAGCTACAGGAATCAGGAAGCAAATCGCTGTGTTTGTGAGTCTGCTGTGTCCCTGCTCGGAGCCCAATGCGCAGACACACCTGGCCATCCCTCCTCCTCACGTACGACCGACCATCTCCTTCGGCGCCCAGCGGAGCGAGGACTCTTCAAGACCTCAGTTGTGGTAGAGGTTTGCGGTTTGCCGCTGACTCTTGGGAGCCTATGAGGTGATTAGGCTGATATGCCATGCTTGCATTTTCTGCGAATGCGAGAGCCATTGCTGCATTCTCATTGCCGTGACAGATTAGGCATAGTTGTGTGGCAGCATTGCCCCATCTCGTGCTGAGATATCAGAAGGCCAGGAATCGTGTAACCACGCTTGATTGAACTCTGCGCGTCCGGTGCTCCTCTCAAGTTGCTGGGGCAGAGGGAAGCGTGGAGGGGTGTCCATGAATGGTGGGCAAAAGGTCTCAGGCTTGCGGTTAAAGCCAAATGTGTAGACTCAGTGATGTTTAAATGCCATCCTTTGAGGCAAGTCTTGGTAGTGTCGTGCCGCCCGGTGGCGCAGCGCGGCCCGCCTGATGAACGATGTCTCAACATGATGACGACAGGACAGGCCGAGTTATCAAGCCACAGCCCTGCACATTGGTGAGAGAGAGAGAGAGAAAGCTTGAAAGAGAAAGAAAGATGGCTAGCTAGCTAGCTAGGTGGCTAGGTAGATAGACAGATCGATAGATAGAGATGGAGAGGGAGAGAGCGAGCGAACCAGAGAGCGAACCAGCGAGCGAGCGAGAGAGCGAGAGAGGGAGTAAAGAAAGAAAGAACAAATGAAAGAAATAAAGAAAGAAAGAGCTGAGAGTAAAGTTCGTTCAGGGAATCCAGAGTTGCAGAACGCCGGCCCCATCATGTCGCCGAACCGACTCGGGACTATCAGACCCAGGGCGCGTGCGTGCGCGGGAAGGGCGGGGCCTCCTCCTTCTTTGGCTTTGCAGCCGAAGAGAGAGAGAGAGAGAGAGAGAGAGAGAGTAACCTGGTAGAGCGAGAGAGAGAGTAAACCTGCCGAAAGAAAGAGAGAGAGAATGAGAGAATACTTCTGCATACCCCAAGAAGGGGGTCCGGACAACAGCCGCGAGCCGTTGTGGGGTTGGCCTTCGGGCCTGGGGTCCCTGACCCCAAACGCCTAGCAAGCAAGCAAGCAAGCAAGCAAGCAAGCAATGAGAGAATACTGCCAGGAACCCCACTGAAGTATTGATCAGTTGTCACTTAGTTACCTCATGTGTTTGGCTTTGCATACAAAAGGGAGTTCCAGATATAGTTGGACTTGTTTCGCTTGCTCGCACGAAGGCCTGTCTCCGGGGGACTTGCTTTTCGTTTGAGACTATTCTTTGAGGGTTGTCTGCGTAGTCTTGTTACTTTGAGAACCAGAACGTCGCTGGAGACTCAGCTTTCGTTGTCACATCTTGCCAGGGGGTCAACAGAGTATGTCATGCTAGGTCTTTCTCTTCTTACTTCACGGGGGACCCCCTCCGCAAGTCTGTCTGGTGCAGGGAACAGTGGCTCTCTCCTGGGAAGTAGGTTGATGCTGCTATTCCTTTCAGCGCTGTTTCAGGTGAAGGGGACCCAATTTTCCTTTCAAGAAAGGAAAGAGCCAAATAGACACTCTTCCAAACGAGGGGAGCACGCGCAGTCCCCCTCCACAACGCTGAGCCAAGGTGTGAGCTTTCTAGTTTGGGGGATCCTGTTTGTTACTTTTTTTTAACTCAAAACAGAGGGAGACTCACTGAAATATGAATGGTGTCCATGCTGCTTGCATGTTTCTGTCCAAACGATGTGTAAACGTCTCCCAGCAGGTTGCTATCTGATTCAGTGGGGCAGTGTACTGTAATTGTGATTGGTAAACTAGGTCGAGGGACCTGAAACCATCGTTATCTTGTCACGCCCCTTCAAAGACACCCCAAACAGCAGGGGGCCTTTCAAGGCCAGGGGGTCTTACACACCCCCTATGCCCTCTGGAAGAAGAGATGGAGAAAGACAGAGTGGGAGAGAGGGAGAGACGGAGGGAGAGAGAGAGGCAGGGAGAGTGATCGCACATCCGATGTAAAGCGGCTGTGGAACGAGATGAATTGGGGTGATAAACCACAGTGGCAACCATGGCGACAAGCTTACCATGGATCCAACGGGGAGAGAAACCCCCAGCCAACCGGCCGTTTAGTACTGCGAGCCGGACTGCCCTGGCTGATGCACTGAACGCTCACCACTACACTACACCAGAGATGCAGCAGGAAAAATCACTCCGACGTTGACGACGGAAAGACCCTTGTCTCTCTCAACACAAACTGCAAACAACACCAAAGCACCGACTTGCAGCCACTCAAGCTCTCTCTGCCTCCTCCACAAACCTCCCTCCTTGGGAAACCCGAGCCATTCTCACCTCCGAAAAGAAGAATACCAGTGAGCTACAGCCAAGCCCCCGGAGACGAAGCTGTCTCGACGAATGTGCCAGTGCAGCAGCCCACAATTCCGCCGTATTTTCATTCAGTGGTGTGTTCCGGGTTTTGGGCTGTTCACTTCGAGGGGCTGCTTTCACCATTACTTGACAAGGAGGACCGCCGAGCATACTAAAACATTGCAACGTTTGCTGCCCTTCATCGTGCTGTTATTTTTTGTTGCTTCCTTCGTTGCAGCTCGGTATTTCCAGTAAATCACCTTTTCGGGCTTTCTGCACTCCGACAGGACATGTAGTGCGTTGACAAATCCGGCCTCCCTCGCCCTTTGCATCGCTTTCTCCCTGCTGTAGTTCCTCATCTCGCGAAGGTCAGGGGACAAGTCCTTTGCACCTCCTCCGGTGGGGACAGGCCCACGAAGCGAATGCTATGCGACAGACCCTACCTGCTATCTGTATCTCTTAGGTCCAGCCTAATCGTTGTTGGCCTTGTTTGATCTTGCTGAATCGTTTCAAGCAAATGGCCTTTCTACCTTCGGGAAGGGGACTTTCCTTAGCGGCTCACACCTGAATAACAGGTGGAGCCCCGAAACATCGCGTGGGTACAGTGACTCACGCTTCGGGCCTTGTTGCCTCAACCCCTTGGCTAGCTGATGTCGTGGTGTCATTTTCATGTACGTTTCCTTGATTGGTACAAAGCTGTCGCTGAGTCCCGTTTTGGATGTCGAGAGAAGCGAAAGCACTTGGGGAAAATCCCCACAAGCAAGACCCAATCATCGTCAAACGTACTTCTTCTTGTCTTGGTTATGCGGTTTAGGGCCTTGTTGCTAAGGCCTGCATGCTTGGCCTCCGCGTCGGGGGCGCACTTGCGCGCGGTGTAGGGGGTCTTCCCCCTGCACCATAGCCTTGAAAGGGAGAGGGGGACCTTCTGACACAGAGCCCGGGGAACAGCAACACGCTGCGAACCCGGGAGGACAGAGGACTCAGCTGCGCGCATGCGCGT